GTCCAAGAACAGGATTATCATCTCAGCACCAAAATCTGCACTGTTACAGAGACAAAAAAAAAAAAAAAATAAAAAATCCAATGGAATGACTCTGGATTTACAGCAGCATAACCGAGATCAGAGTTTGTCCTATTGTTTCCCATCAAATCCATAATTTAGCATGATAATACATAGTGTCCTATACAAAGCTTCTGTTAGCTGGAAAGACCAGCTTGTTTTACCCACCAGTAGTACGTCATGGTGACAGATAAATATTTTAATGAATTTAATAATCTTATTTGAATTCCTTATCCAGGAAAAAAAATGCATTTGCAAATAAGAATATGGCACCTGCTTTAGATTGAATAAAAGCATTAATGTGACGAACAACAAACCAAATATCTAACCCTGAGTGACGCTGAGCAGCTGCAACTTCCATGAACTTTGTAGGAGTTGCAAGAAGTTGAGATCTCCGTGGATGATAATGCAAGACATAATGCAAGGTCTTTTTCTACTGTTTTCATTCAGTTTGTCATTTATGCAAAGGAAGACACTAGATAAAAAAATAAAGAAATTAACATGTGGAATCCAGATGCCTGAACATAACTATACAAAGCAGAACTTGCAGTGGCAATGCATGTAGAAGCTTGATCAAAGAGAGATCATTAATCATGTACATACAGGTTGGATGAGGGGGAAAGGCCTGAGGAAAAACCGCACGAAAAATCTTCATCACACAAGTACTTACATTATTGCTTCATAGCTTTTTAAGGCCTTAAATCCAAGCTAAAAAAAGACATTATCTAAGGTGGTCTAGGGGATATAGCAAGGATATACAAGGAGAGATTGAGGAAACAGTAAATGAGGTTTTATAGCATTCCAGATTTCACTTACAAGTGATGGAATGGCCGTTAAGACTGCTGGAATGATTTCTTGCATGGAAGAAAGCAAGAACTCAAGAAAAGAAAGCAAGATAAGTACGTATGTTTTAGCAGAATTCTTACCAACTACTAAATTATTATTGGCTGCATACCAAACACTCCACACAGTGATAAACAACTGTTCATTTTATTTCACTAAACAAAAAGCCCATTGAAAGATTTCTACTAATACTGCATTCACTGGAACTCACTTGAAAAATACACTTTTGGACATACATCAAATACAACTTACAGCTGAGTAACTGCAGTGGTCTAAGTTACTTTTCAAATGTGTCAAGAAAATGTTCTGTTCTCCAAGAAGAGGAGAACAACAGAGTGAAGCAGCACGCTAACTATAGGTATCAGACATTCCCCGAGGCTCAGAAATAGCTTCTCTTTTTAATAGCTAAGATTTCAGCAACTGGCCTTGCTTTCCGGGGAGTTGGGGGGGTGGTTTCACATACAGGCCCCCATTTTTGGTGGCAAGCCAGCAAAAACAGTAGGAATTCCCATATCCTGTCTTGCCACCAAAAAAGGTACATTTTCAACAGCTGTGTCAGCACAACAGTACGCAAGGCCACACAGTAAACTGGAAAAACGAACAGATCTTGGTTGAAAAAAAATGTGTTACTAAAAACGGTGCTGCTTTTAATCCAAGCATTGGTTTGATCCCCAGAACAGAGTTACAAACAGCTGCGGCAGCACAACCGTGGGGCCATAGGTGGTGGTGGTGGCAGGGAAGATGAAATCCTTAAGATCTGCAGCCAGGAACAGGCTATGCAGAATTATCTATCAGGCTGTATATAACTGTCATAGCGACACATTACATTTTCTTCAGAGGTAAGGCAAATTACGAAATCCCTCTCTCTGTTCTTTGCCCTGGCTGCTGCATTTTGTCACGTCCAAAGTTGTGCATGTATTATAGTTTTAGAAGCTGCATCCTAAACTGGATCACAGAAATCATCTGGGTTAAGGAAAAAGAAATACCAAAATGGGTTTGTTTCTAATCTTGCTCTGTTGCATTAGCTCAACTGCAGAAATTAGGAATGGACTAATGACCAGCCATTGGCAAGCTCCTAAGAGAGCTCTTATGTCAAATAACACATAAAAGATCCTGAACATTTGAGTCAAAATTAAAATGCTATGAAAAGCAACCCTACGGTGCTTCTGACTGGACAGCTCAAAATTGGGACTCCTCCTTCAGAAAGGAAATATCCGTGTCCCACATGAAAACCTGGATCCAAATTTGGTGAGCAATGGTTCTGTGAAATGTTATGTGTGTTACAGAGTTTGTGCTCCCCACGCCTTTTATTTTCGTATGTTTACATCCCCTATTGTCTCTGTAAAACACTACCAAAAGCACTCCCTACTCTGCAGTTATAAATGGCTACCCAAAACCTGAGACAGTGGAGAAGCAGTCCCTCCAGGTTAGGTTCTGTGTTTAGGATAATTGCTCTGTCAATACATCTATTACCTTTAATCAAAGCTGTTGATTATCAGCCTCTCTGAAAGACAACTCTTACGTTTCTGAAACTGGGTTCTCAGACAGAGCAGCATCTAAACTCTGTGAGCAGTTCTGGAAAGAAAAAAAAAAAAGCCTTCAGTCTCTCCAGTATTCATAGCCTCCACTCATTGGTGCAAAGCCCTTCAACAGAATTGTTTAGACCGTGTAACACCCACAAGTTGCAATTTATTAAACTTTGGCAGTCTAATCACTGCAGACTTTTTCAGAGTTGATCCCCACAGTAACAATTATTTTCTGCTTTACTGACTCAGGGAAATTCATTCTAGTTTTTCTCCCCTTACTTCCCATCCACCCTTTTATATCTATGCCATGTTTCTTCATTCTCCCTTGTGCCTATGGTACCTTTTGTGGCCAAAAAAACCTACAGCTAGTATTTCCCCATGTTGCTACTGGAGACTGGAACAGCCTGCATAATTTGTCCTCTTACATACTGATCTGCCCTAAACTTTCCAGTTTATTTGTTTGGACACAATATTGAGGTTTGCTCAGTTCAGTAAAACAAGCGTCAAGTTGTGAGTCATTATCAGGAGCTTCTGGGTTTTCAGTGTGTCCCCAGGAAATAGAGGACTGCAATTTTTAAGCGTTTATTGTAACGGCAGCAGTTACACAAGCCGTGGAACATAGTCAGAGCTTAGCACCGTGGCTGGCTACGCTCTTTGTGCGACTAAGGAACAAAAATCACACGTCACGAACGAAAACGGGATTTTAAAATGTAACAGGAGAAATTGGGTATTCTCCCCCCCCCCCCCCTTCATTTCTCTCTTGAAATGAATTCTTGTCAGTTTTATGTAAATACTTTACACACACATACACACACGTGTATATTTGAAAAGCAGGGTTCCCCAACATCTTTGCAATTCCCTAATTTTGAGCCTCTGTCTGACACCTGCAGAGTTACCACCGGCCCCAGGCCCAGGCCCAGGCCCGGCCTCAGCACCCTCCGCGGCGGCCCGGAGGCGCCGGACAGCTGCTCCTCAGCGGCTCTTTTGTTCAACATGGAGCCACCCTCCAGCTGAACAAAGGACCTTCCAGCCTGGGAAAACCTGC